AATCGCACTTTATCCCTTTTAAGTATAGGCCGTTTCTCACTTTACCCCCCAACGTTTGTTTTTCCTCAGTTTACCCCCTCCGTTAGCAATTGTACCGTTAAAAATTTCAAGATTTCGAAATTGCCATACGAAAAGGGCCGTTGGTTTTAGCTGACAAAAATGCCCCTCAATGGTGTCTGATGCTTTTAGCCTACTTTTTCCCTCAAAGAGCCGTTGGTTGGTTTTAGCTGTTGGTTGGGTTCTATAAAAGGTGGTATTTTGCAGCCAATTTTTCTTATACATTTTAGCAAATTCCAAAGTTCCTAAAATTTCTCTTTGTCAACCAAAAGCATCATAAAATGTCACAAAGTGCTTCAAATAATGTTGAAAGATCACCCCAAAAAATGTGTGGATGTGGTAAAGAAGCACCATTGTGCACCTCTTGGACACTTGAAAATCCGAGAAGAAGATTTTACGGCTACTCAAATTACAATGTAAGAATTTTTCATTAATAATTTGTTAATATTGTCTTTAATTTGGCTCTATACCTGAATAAGTTAGAAAGAGTTTAAACAACTATTTTTTTTTTATTTAGAATCGACGTGCATGTGGGCACTTTTCATGGGTAGATCCTGAAGTTTGTAGCAAAACAAAAGAAGTAAGTGCAATGCTGCAATCTAGACTGGTGGAGCGAAAGGAGAAACTAATGTACTTGCAAAGGGAGCATGAAAAATTGGCAAATGAGCATGAAATTTTGAAAAGCAGATATGAAGCCTTAGAAACAGGGATGTTGTTGCGATATGTTTATTAGTCAAAGAAGAGGTGTGGAAAGGTGGGGGAACAGGAGGTGTAAGTGATTGTGGCCACAAACGGTAGGGAAAATGTGTTGGATGGGCACGTGTAAAGGTCTTTTGTGACCTAGAACCCGAAGACCTGTTGGGCGTTGCAGTTAAGCAGAAAGGGGATAGGAAAAGTTGAGGGGATTCCAACCGTAAATGTGAAATGTGGGGCTCTTTTATTCAACAACGGGTTTATTTTTATGTTATCCGATAAGTAAATTAGAATTTAAGGAAAATGGGCACTGTGTGAGTATAATGAACGAAAGTCATAAAGAACTGATATTTTATTCAACAACGGGTTTAAATTTATTTTTAACCGACAAGTAAATTTCTATTTAAGGCACCTTGGGTACTGTGTGAGTATAATGGACGAAAGGCATAAAGAGCTGGTCTTTTATTCAACAACGGGTTTATTTTTATTTTATCCGATAAATAAATTTCTATTTAAGGCACCTTGGGTACTATGTTATTGTAATGGAGGAAAGCCATAAAGAACTTATTTTTTATTCAACAACGAGTTAAGTTTTATTATATCCGATAACTAAATTTTTGTTTAAGAAAAATGGGTACTCTATTCTTATAATGGACGAAAGCTTTGAAAAGTGGGGCTCTTTTATTCAACAACGGGTTTATTTTTATGTTATCCGTCAAATAAATTAATATTTAAGGAAAATGGGTACTCTGTGAGTATAATGGACGAAAGTCATAAAGAGCTGGTCTTTTATTCAACAATGGGTTTAAATTTATTTTATCCGATAAATAAATTTCTATTTAAGGCACCTTGGGTATTCTGTGAGTATAATGGACAAAAGGCATAAAGAACTGGTCTTTTATTCAACAACGAATTTATTTTTATTTTATCCGATAAATAAATTTCTATTTAAGGCACATTGGGTACTATGTTGTTGTAATGGAGGAAAGCTATAAAAAGTTAGTTTTTTATTCAACAACGAGTTAATTTTTATTATATCCGATAACTAAATTTTTGTTTAAGAAAAATCGGTACTCTATTCTTATAATGAACGAAAACTTTGAAAAGTGGGGCTCTTTTATTCAACAACGGGTTTATTTTTATGTTATCCGACAAATAAATTAGTATTTAAGGAAAATGGGTACTCTGTAAGTATAATGGACGAAAGCCATAAAGAACTGGTCTTTTATTCAACAATGGATATATAAAGAGTTGGTCTTCTTTTTTTTTCTGTCCCGTGCCAGATGGAGGGAAATTTCCCTCCATTATTCCAGGGTAATTTTGGAAACTTGCATTTCATAAACCAGCATATATGGATATTTTGGGTTGTTCAATATTTTCATAAGGATATTATTGTCTTTTCAATATTCCGTTTATATCCATTAGAGTTGACTGTTAGTTTTTGGGGTAGACTGAGGAAAAATAAACGTTGGGGGGTAAAGTGAGAAACGGCCTATACTTAAAGGGGATAAAGTGCGATTAACCCTTATTATTATTATTATTATTATTTATTGACACTATAAAATTTTTTTTTATTCTATACCTACTTCAACTTTATAGTAAGGGATGGATTCAAATGGGTCAAGAGAGAATTTAAGATTCATTGAATTAAATGAGTGCCTTTGCACTCGCTGGTAAAATATTTAGAAAATTTTAGAGATAGATGTAAGTTAAGAAATTTCTAGAGATCCTTAATCTGCACCTAAGGAAAGTCCACTGTTGTGTTTGGATTGCATTTTCCGTTATTTTTCAAGGAAAAATTACTATAGCGATTTGATATATGTGAGGGAAAAAGGTGATAGAGAAATGTGATCACGGAAAACGACAATATTTTCCGACGGAAACAAGCAATCCAAACAAGGCATCCTTGGTGACCAATTACTCTAAAGGCAATTGGTTATCATTAAGCTATCTAAAATGGCATAATTTGACGGAAATGGTCTATGTAACGGAACCAAGGAAATGTCAAGAATATCCTTGATTAAAAATTAAAATGGATGAAATGATCAAATTATATAAATTTAATATGTACGATACTTTAATCCTTTATAGTTTTATGTTTTACGACATAACTCTCTTATAATTTAGTGCTCTGTTATAGTTTTCAAAATATATACACAATCCCCCTGTGATCATTAATAATTTTCAATTTTACAAAGGGATACCATTGACATTTTAGTTGACTCTATTACGGGATGTAAATTCCGTAATTTTGATCCTTTAGTCCAAATTATAAGGGAATTATATATAGTTTTTCAAATCACAAGAGAGTTATATGATAAAGTGCTAAACTAAAGGAGATAAAGTGTATGTTACCTAAGCCATAATCATAAGCCAATGTGTAGTGTACATGACCAGACAAGTAGAAACACCTCTCAATTCATTCGTTCCTTTAATTCCAAAAGAAAATTAAGCAGTAAACTTAATTTGACGAAAACAAAATTAAGGAATCAAATTTAAATAATTTTTGCAAAAATGACAAGTTTTATTGGGATTCATGATTGGAGTTGGAAATAGCCCCACATCTCTTGTTATGGTCCGATCTGTTCATTTCCTTTTCTCTGTTGTTACAATCTATCTATTTCCTTCTTCTAATTGAAAGCTAATGAAATCTGCCAATTGGAGAAATGCAATTTAGCAAACGCCAAGAGAAACTGTCAAATCGCAAACACTGTGTGCTAACCACCCACTGTTACACGGCACTGATTGCTCTGTTACCGTGTTGGTTACTATTTAGTGTATTTTTCATTTCAAATTTACCCTTTTCTTGTGATTTCTTAATTATCATAATACACCAAATTTATTGCTTAACTTTCGTAAATTGATCAATGTAGTTCTTTAATGAAAATTTAAGAGTTGATAACAAGATTAAAAAAAAAACTCTTTAACAATTTTTGTATCATTGGTTCGGACAAAAAAAGTTTAAATTACTTAAAATTATGATTGATTTATAGTGCTTTTAAAAATAACTTGCAATAATTTGTAACCATGAGAATACCTTTTTGGGCTAACTTAAAAATAATACAGACAAGTTTATTTATATATAAATTTTAGCATGCTGTATCTTTTTATTTGTCAAGCCATCGATTTAGATAAAAAAATAAAAAATTCAAATATGTGTAAATGATTTATAAATTAACTCAAAACACTTTATAGTAAAGAAAATATTATCTTTGTAACTTGCAAAAACTTCGATAAACTTTCAAATATATACTCTTGGCATTTAAAAAAAAAACACTATATTTTGTTGCATCAAAATAAATCATTATACTTTTTTTTTTCATTTGTTATTAATATACTCATGTTTTGGTAATAAAACAACAAAAAGGCAAATTTGGAATGAGATTATATTTACTCTCTCAAAATAAATTTTTTAATATTATATTTTAAAATAGGTTGTAAATGATATAAAAAGGTTAAAGTAAGGGAGGCAACTAAAGTTTATGAAATTCGAGAGTGCCAAGTGAAACTGTCAAAAACTTTGAGGAAGGTTTCTGAAATTATCCCATTTTCATTTAGTTGGTTTAAACCAATATTTGGTATACAAATTATGCCAAATATTGATTTACTGCAACCGAGTAGAAAAATACATAAAATATTACAAGATTATAGTGTATTAAGGGTGTAATAAATAAATATATAATAGAAGATAACCCATTGATAAGGTATATATGCTGCATCTTTGTTCATTTAGGATGTAAGAAAATGTGTTTAGAAGAAGGATGAGTGAAGAAAGTTACACAATCCATCTCCTACTCTGTCTTAGATTTTCTGGCTTGGGTCCTACAATCAGGGAGGGACATAAGATATTTTCCCTGGTCCACTGCGCCTGCAAGAGAAAGTTGAATGGTGTTCATGAATTCAGGTATGCAGCAGCCATCAGGCTTAAGTTTTGATAATACTTGAGACACTGTACCATGTCGAAATATGGTAATCTACACCATCCATTGATGGGGGATCCATTTTCACAGCTCCAGACTTTGTTCACCAGTTTTTCCTGTATCTTGAATCTTGATCAACACTCAACTGGGGTGACTAACTCGGGAGGCAACTCTGTGCTGTGGGTTTCCATTGTTCAACATTGCAGGGAAAAAAATGCTAGCCTAGCTAGTCCTTTTGGGAAAAGAATCAGCTGTGAATCTGTGGCCAGGTTGATGATTCTCCAGGTGAATCTTCTGCAGTTACCGACAATGTCCATTCATTCCAAAGGCATAACATCTTTTGGAATGGATTTGCACTCAGTAGTCAGGACAGTTACAAACTCTGGAGATTTCTAGTCATGGGTTAATGATGTTGTTCAATATTCAATGCAGGCACGATGAATGCTCGAAGCAGTTCAGAATGGCAATGCGAAGCATCGAATCAATTGGTTTGAACCCTGTTTCACGCTCAAGAAACTAGAAGTCCCATTCATGAAGGCATCATGAGACCTGCAAGAGACTTGTGTTGTTACATTTTGTTTCTTTTTCTTCTTTTGTTTGTCCTACGTTTTTGTGGGCTACGAACACAAATGAGTCTAGCCCTGTTTAACTCTCAAAAGACTAGAAGAGACTTATGCTGTTGCATTTTGTTTCTTTTTCTTCTTTTGTTTGCCCTATGCTTTTGTGGGCTACGAGCACGAATAAGTCTAGCCATTATGAACATTGAAAACTAAGCTCAAATGCAGCGTTGATGAATCAGTGATTTGGAAGTGATGTTGTAATCTGTAAATGCAATAGTTCTATCCTGTTGGAATTTAGAGCATAAACTACAAAACAACACTCAATGTTCCAAAAAAAAATAAAATTAAAGCTTACTAAAACTTATATTGAGGGTTGGAAAATGAGTTTAAATTCTACATTCATGACTTCTTTCTTTATTTATAGAGCATATAAGAAACAAATTAACGCAATTTTTGCTAATTAATTTCCTAACGAATATCAATAGATAATCATAATTCAAAATAGTTGAATTTGTCAAAAGATACTAAATGTGAAAATACTCCTAACAACTAACTAGCAACTTAACCTATTAACCAAATTGACTTATTCTAAATTTAGAAAATTGCAGCAGAAGTTGCATTATTCCAACACTTCTCCTTACTATTTTGGTTGCAAATTTTGAATTGTCTTCTAAAATCTTTAAATCTTGTTTTAGACACGACTTTTGTAAGAAACTTTACAAACTGATGAATAGCCTTGCAACGAACTACTTCTTGTAGTTTCTTGGGCCAAATTCTGAATTGGTTAATGATGTTCTTAATGTATCCAAATAACACTTTTGAGAGTTCAAAGTAGAACACCCTTCTACAATATTTAAACCACCACTATCTTTGGATATTTCTTGCTACAATGCACTTTTGAAAGTTTTTCGAAACCTGTGGACTCAAAAATAGTAAAATTAATTATAATCTTCATAAATATCAAGAATAAGTTTAATGCATCGTCTTATCAACATATCAATAATCTCCACCTGAATTCTTTTAGGATTTGAATTTTTGATCTCACAATGTTATACTCTAGAATCATCAAATGTTGACTAAAAGAAAAATCTACCTCATAATTGTTAAATGCTGACCAATTTAGAAAAAATTTTTCTCTATTCATTTTTATTGAGAAAAGTTCATTCTCAATAAGATCATCAATAGCAGACGTCATTATTATTGTAACAATGATATTAAAAAAATGATGTGTGAATGCTAGCCTTGGATCTTTATCTAACTGCAATTTTGTGATATCTAATTTGTATATTTGTCGGATCTTCAAGTAGTGCTACAAAATGATTTATCTCCACCACACACTACAACAAAAATGACCTTTAACGGCATTTAAAGGTGTCAGTATAGATAATCTAACCTGACACTTTACCTTTCCTCACACCTCGGACGAGTGTCGTCCCTTCCAATGTGGGGATAGGCTCGTAGCATTCAAACGTGTCAGGAAAACTATGCTGTTATAGCATCCCATCTGCCAACAAAAATTCCTTTTCTTGATAATCGAAAGTGTCAGGATAGCTATAGTACAACATTAGAATATCGAATTCTATGCTGACACTTTTAACTGCCAGGAGTTTTTTTTTTCTTTTTTTTTTTGATATAGAAGCAACCTGCAGGTAGTGTTCCCTGCTATACATTCCGTCAATCAGAAACCCAAAGGACTTGTAAAATTATCCCAAAGAACAGAATGCATATAGTAATCTAAAAGCAAATGTCAATACTCAAAAATAATTTGTTGAACTAAAAGTCAATAACAACTACTAACATAGCAAATCCCTAACAAGTACAAATTTAGTTTCTAAATTTCAAAATCATAACCAAGATTACAACATTGAATAAACACAACTTTATTAAGAATGTTGTAGCTGATTTGTACCTTTGCTTCTTCACTTTTCCAATAACCCCAAAGTTTTATCTATTGCTCTTCCCGAACCCTTACATCCTTTTGAAACCGACCACATACAAAACAGAGGACTCAAGACCAATATATCTTCGGCTATGTTTGCAGCTTTAGCATCAGATTAGTAATTGTAAATTAATGGCTTTGGTTAATCATATTTGCTAGCTTCAGCTTCTGCAGGATCCTTGCTGCCTTGACTTGCTTCTGATGTTGCCCAGCTTTCTACAATCTCCCCAGGTCAGTTGCTTGCAATTACCCCATATCCTAACTTGTTCTTAATTGGACAGATTGTTGCAGCAGAGTTCATCTTTTGATGCAAACGTCAATATGTTCCATTTCCACTACGCTCAAACTCCTCGTGTTGTATTCTCACTGTTCCTGAGTGGCTTTTTTGTGCAACCTTGTCCATATCTAATCTGGATTCACTAAACTGTGCTTTGTTCTATCCTTCCAGATTAGCCATCGTAAATTGCAAGTAAGCTGAATGTGCTCCTTCCCAGCAATTAAAAAAAATCCCTTCAAGCTTTTGCAAATTACAGAAGGCAAATATACCTTCATCCAATTGAAAAAAAAAAGCTCCAAATCCTCACAGTGAACTGTTTCTCACTCGCATCTAGCACTCCAGCATATTTTGGGGATGCCTTGCTCTAGCGTATCACCTACATATGAGGTCTCTCAAACATGTAGTAATAGAGCTTGACCCTGCTAGTAAATGGGAAAATGACTTTTAAAGTCATGCAGAGCCAATAATTCGAGTCAGTAGTTTGTTTACACACTGTGTGCACATGTGACTTTCATATAGAAAGTAATAAAAAATTTTCTAGTATTTACCATACCTATGATAGTAGGACCCACCCAATATAGATTGCACCCATGCCTTCTTCACAATTACAGTTCCTAGAAGATGGCAAAGTTCCTATGTTGAGTAGGACTTCTCTGGCTGCATAGAAATTCACAGGTTTAAGCATCATCAATGACAACCTAAAAAGCCATGGCTAGTCAGCAATTTGCCGGCACTATGTTCATTTTCAATGGACTATAACATGTGTAATATGTAAAGGAAACCTGTGTATATATATGTCAACAAAAATCTCACAAGATAACCTAGATATTAAGTAGTAAGCCAACCAAGTACAGTGTCCATTTGCTATGTTGCCACATTTTATCGAACAGGTTATGGGCAGTAAGTGCATAACAAAATAGTCACATGAATCAAGTCGACAATCGAGAGGAACAAAGCTGAACAACAAGTGCATTCAAATCATAAACTATTACTATATCCATTTCAATCTCAAACAGACGGGACTAATCTCAAATGTAATCAATTTAGGGCAAACTTGAAACTTAACCCTCATAATTCAACACAATAGAGTACACAGCTTCAAGAATAGCTAATAATGTCCAGAAAAAAGCTTAAACATTACCTCATATGCAAAATAGTGATTGGCTGCCATGTACACGAACATATAAGTAAGGGGGTTGTACTCGAGTGCAGGTACAGAAGCATTTTTTCCTCTCATCTGCTGCAATTTGCAATTGGCAATTGGATTGTGTTTTGTTTGGCTCTAAATAAATGGTAGCAGTAATGGGAAAGCTTGAAGAATGGACAGCTTCTTTACGGTGACATTTAGCAAAAACATTATCTAATTGCTCAAAAAATAAAAAAAAATTACCATGCAATTACATACATTCAATGGGAAAGCAAGGAAAGTTTGTTTGCAGGGAGATTCAGCAGAAAAAACTCCAAGTGTTTTGGCTAGAGATAATTTGCCGAGGATAATTTGTTGAGGAGTGAGTGTTTCTCGTGAGAAAGATGAGATGAAGCAAAATTTGACTAAGTCTTTTGGCCGGCAATTTGAAAGTTTTAAATATTTCATGGCAAATGAATCTTCCGCCAAAACAAGCCGATGTCGTTTAGTGTCTTTCTTTTTTTTTTTAATTTGGGCATATCTCACATTTTCTCAAGTGTCATGATATGTAGTCTAAAGGCACATTATTATTCTTATATCAGATAAAATAAAATAAAAATAGAGTATATATTATTGAGTTGATAACAAGTGTCATGATAGAAATGCTATAATGACACAAACTATCAAGTGTCCTTATAGGCATGTCAGGAAAGGTCATTTTTGTTGTAGTGACATCTCATAGATTATTAAGTACTAAATAAGTTCAAAGTTTTACAGCCCAAATTTGATAGTTTTTACCACTAAAAATTAGAAAGTTAGAACAAAAAGTTCTTTCCTATCATGGTTTTGAATTGATAAAGGATCTTCACCAATTACACACACCCTTAACAAAAAGGAGAAAGCCCTTAAGACATAGGCTCTTGATATAACTTTGTTGGAATTAGAGCATAATCTACTAAACAATACTTGGTGTTGAAAAAAAAAAAAAACTAAAACTTGTGTTGAGGATTGGAAAATAAGCTTAAGCTCTTTATTCATGACCTCTCTATTTATAGAGTATACAATAAACAAATTAATATATTTGTTACTAACAAATCTCCTAATAAATCTCAACAAATAAGCGTAATTTAAAATAGTTGAACTAGTTAAAAGACACTAAACGTGGAAAACTCCTTACAACTAACTAAGAACTTAACTTATTATTATTTGACAATAAAACATAACTTAGTTGGCAAGACACTTCACCTGTAATCAATAGGCCACGGATTCGAGTTATTAGGGGACTAGGTGGAGAATCACCATTGATCCTTACATTAAAAGAAAAATAAATTGACCTATTCTAAAGTTAGAAAGTTGCTGCAGAAATTGCATTATTCCAACAAATCCCTAATGGGTGGAGCATGGACTCGTAAAGGTTAGTTGTTTACATGATATTCCACCGTTCCACCAAGAGCAAAACAATAGGGTATTTCGTTTTCTCACGCATGGCTGCAAGTAAAAGATCATAGAGCAGAATAGCAAAAGGTACTCAAAATCTTCAAATTTCGCAGGGCAGTCTTGGATGAATTAAGGTTCTCATGTTTTATCTATGGGTTCTAATCGTGTAATATTTGAGAAATCCGTTTAATTCACTTTTTGCAGGGTTATATCAACCAAAAAAAAAAATGATTCAAGAGGTGCATTAGCCCTCTCTTTCTCCCTTATGTGAAGAGAAGAGATGATTTTTTTTTTAAAAAAAGTATTTTAACCTACTAAATCGTAATAAATCTTAATTTGCCCCAATTACAAAAAAGAAAAAAGGAAAATAAAAATTTGATAAATGAGAAATAGAAAATACCAAATCAAAATATCAGTTTTTTTTTGTCTATTTCTTATTTTAAATATGCTTCTTAAATTTTATTTCTTATTTATCTATTTTTTATTTTCCTTTCTTCTTTTTTGTATTTAGGACAAATTAAGATTTATTACAATTTAATAGCATAAAGTACAGTTTTTTAGAGAAAATTCTAAAATTGTGATGGAAAAAAAAATTATTCTACAAGGGGGTCAATTTTTGAACTTAGTTCTACAAATGCGAGTTCATAGACATCGCATTTCACAAATGCGAGGTTAGTGTTCCAGAAAAAATGAGAAATGCTTTGGAAAAAAGTAAAAAAGGCAACAGAAAACTCGCAGATTTGGAATGCGAGGTGAGTATCTCGCATTTTTCGAATGCGAGGTACTCAATCTGAAACCCAATTCAAATATGTTTCGTAGCCTGCAGAAATTGGCGGTCACTTTCTCTTCTCTTTTGCTGAGGTAGACACCAGTCCAAGCATCTCAGTTGTCCGCCATTGCTGAGGTAATTCATTGATCTCATCTTCCACTGGAACTAACAGAGCTCTAAATTTGGGACATTGACAGCCTGTGCCTTCTTGTATTTGCTGCTTTTGATATTGAGCTAGCCTAATTCGGACACCTTGAGAATCTATCCTTGGGGATCTAGCTGAATTTCGGATGAAATCTCCAGCAACGGTTGACTGGCAGGCAGGCAGAATGTGGCTGGAAGAAATGATGCTTCCAGAGCTATTCATATTCAAGGTTTGGAAGTTGGGTTGCCGTCTAGTGTTTGTAAACTCTATTATATTGAAATACAATTTGCTTGAGCACAAAAATGCAGGATAACCCCAGACACAGAGTGTAACCCCAGATATGATTACGAGTAGAGAGAGCCATTTTGGGCCTTCGTTGTTATCAACAATTTCGTCCTCATTTCTCTGAAAACTCGAAGCAGGCGTGTATCACTCGCTTGATGAAGACCTTACCTCGCATTCCTTGAATGCGAGGTCTTCGACCTCTTTTTTTTTTTTTTTTTTGTATTTGTTTGTTGGAAAATTCAGGGAGAGTTCACATTTGGTAAATGCGAGCTCAAGGAACTCGCATTTGATAAATGCGAACACCCCTTTTACAGAATCCCATACAAAAAATATCCCCTTTGTAGAATTTTTTTAAAAATCATCATAATATTAGAAATTTCTCCAGTTTTTTAATATCATCTACTCTTCCCTAAAGATAAAAAAAAAAGAGAAAGAAAACCAAAAAAAAAAGTGATGAAAGGGGATTATGTATAAAAACTCTTGTTTGACTTTTTTTATATTGGTGGCTAGTTTTATTGGAAAAGGGATTATGTATATATTTTTAAATCATAATGAGTTGTATGGTAAAGAAAGGGATTATGTATAGATTTTTAAATCATAATGGATTATGTGGTATAAAGCTAAACCACAAGAGAGTAAACGGTAATTGACCCTTAATGCTCCTGTGATCAATGTCAATGTAAGTCCAACTAATTTCATGTTAGATACGAACTAGTTAGTCCGATTGGTTTGTCTATGGATAACTCCAAAATTTTTTTAACAACAATTTTATTGTTCTAGAATATGATGTAATCATATTCTCATAGAGAAAACAAAATTTAGAAATTATTTATCATAATTTAAGCAAGTCAATCTACTCTCAAAGTAAAGAGCAATCGTTAGCATATGAGACTTTTTAAGATAAATAAGAAGAAATTTTATCACTAAAATTGCTAGGAGTTGTTGAACACCAATTGCTTTACAAAATCTGGAGGGAAATTATAATGAGAATGGATTCCCTTGGAACCCATTTGAGATTAGCAACATGAGAAATTTTTTTTTTTTTTCCTTTGAGGGTAGCAACATGAGAAAGTTCGATAGCATGCCTAATATCATCTATCACCAGGCCAGTGGTGGAAAAATCCTTGTCCTTGTTAGCCAAGAGACTGATGACCCCCAGAGTATGAGATTAACTCTTCCACAAGTAACTTTCGCTCTATATTAAAACAAGAACGTCTTTTCCGCCCCGCCCCGTTTGATAATCCGATCAAAATTTGGAAATAGCCTTGCTGATATAATTATGTGATTTAGCCTAAGTTATATATAACTTAATGTGCCAACAATCTTTGTCGTTGAGTTTTTTATCTTCAAGCGTCTGATTTAGGTTAATTTCTTCTTATCTCCAGCTTCCATGCAGTAGATAACACACAAAAAACAGTACAACACAAATAGCCATGGCACTTCTCAAGAAACCCCTAATCCTTCAAATCGAACTTTCAGACGAAACAATCGAAAACCAGAAAATATTTAACACTTCTTTTACTAAACCTTCAATCACAAACATCAGAGTTGATTCTCAAGAAGTTGCTTGCCAGTCCGATCTTGAGAAACTTCAGGTTCTTGGCTCTGGTAGTGAAGGAATTGTTTACAAAGTACGTGACAAGCAAACATCAATGTTGTACGCTTTAAAAGTTTTCCGGGGATGTCATCCTGCAGATAAAGAGATTGAAATCCTTCGTTCAATGAACTCTCCTTCAATTGTAGGATGCCGCGGCATTTTCGAGGAGAGCATAGGTGAATTAGGGATTCTTCTGGAGTATATGGATGGCGGCTCGCTTGATAATCTTGTGAAAACCAAGGGTTCGTTCCCTGAAAAAACTGTCGCCATCATAGCTTTCCAAGTACTCACTGGACTTGATTATCTGCATGCAAGAAAAATCGTTCATTGTGACATCAAACCAGCAAACCTTTTAGTTGATAAGCAGATGAATGTGAAGATTGCAGACTTTGGAGTTAGTTGTAAGGTTACTGGTTCAGAAGATTCATGCAAAACCTACGCAGGTACCTGTGCTTACATGAGCCCGGAAAGATTTGATCCCCATACCTATGGTTGCAATCCCTTTGCGGGTGATGTATGGAGCTTGGGTTTGACCTTAATGGAGTTGTATATTGGACATTATCCATACCTGAAGCCTGGAGAGAAAGCAGAATCAACGGCTCTCATGTTTGAAATATGCATGGAAGAACCTCCAAGATTACCAGATCTTGCATCAGAAAGTTTTCAAGGCTTCATCCAATGTTGCTTGCAGAAGGAATTGGATAAGAGGTGGAGTGTTTCCCAGTTGTTGGGTCATCCCTTTGTATTGAGTGGAAGGTCTAAGTCATTGACCTGATGAAGCTTGTGAAACCGTAGATTTTATTTTTCAATTTTTTTTGCTTTATTTGTAAATATAATTTTATCTCATTATTTATAATTTCCAGATTATGTATGCTTTGTAAGCAACAATTAATTGCAACCTACAATAATATTAGCATCAGAGTTTGTGATAGAGAATTGGACAAAATAAAAGGACGAGACTAAGAAAACTGAAACTTTTAGTACCTTTTTTTTTTTTTTTTGTCGAAACGATAAGATGATTTCATTGCTTTAATGGTAAAAAAATTACATGTACGAGCAACGGTTCGATCGAAACTCTACAGCTAGTGTTCAAAGACACTGAGGAAATTGTCGCTCCTCATCCACAATAATGCTTAAAGCATCAGCACTCATTTTTTTACTAACTATCATATTTTCTTCCCTATACAAACCAAAAGAGCACATGCAAAACAATCTCTGTAACTGAGAGATGTCTTCAAGTACTGTTGCCATTTTGCTGTCCGCTGAAACTTTTAGTACCACAATAAGATATATGTTGTTTGTATTACAGAACATATATAATTGAAATTAAAACTATTTAGACACATGTGTAAAACTTTCAGTTTCTGATTAATAAAATTATTAAGAATGCTATTTTTCTTATTAGTGAAAGAGAGAATTGGAAAAAGTGAATGAAGTGCTTAGAGAGAGAGAGAGTAGAAATAAAAGGAAAAAGAAATAAAATGATAATAAGTAAAATATAAAAGGTAATTTTATCTTAAACATGAACTAGGTGGTAAAATTGAGTATCAAATTCTTTATGGGGGGCGGGAGTGCAACTAGAATCATAGTTCATAGGAAGAAGAGGAGGGAAACAAATGAAATTAAAAAAAAGGAAAAAAACAAATGAAATCATGGTTTTGATTGAGTATTTCTTGTGATTCTAATTGGATTTGCTGAACAACAGTTAAGAGAATATAGTGGATTTTTTTACAATGCTTTTTTTTTTTTGTGCTTGTTAGCGTATATACAATTGTACGTAAAAAAAAAAAAAAAATCGTATGTAATTCATAGACACTACTGTACCATATTGCCATTTATACCATACTGGTCGCTGATCTTGTTATAATCAGGCTTTTTACAGTAACTGTGGATAAGTTTACTGCAGAAATGAACAACTTGATGCGAATTTGATGTTCAAAGATCATACCAATAACTTGATTTCGTGATATAAGTACTCCGAAATCTGTAGTAAAAACAAAGATACTGATTCCTTGAGTTTTGTTCTTCTCCCATTGACAATGGAATCCGAGCATAACAAAATTCAGATACTTTTGGCCACTTCCATGGCTCCTTTCAAACATTTCTTCTCACTTCTTTATCACTACAAAGATTTGCCACAAATCTATGACAGTTTCTCTCCAACAAGGTGCAAAGAGAAGCCGCACCGGATCTTCATCTAACAATCAACAGCAAATGCAGAAGAATTCTCAATTCTGCATCCATAGTTGTGTATAAATTAACTTCCTCATTATCATTCCTAGCCCTTGTAAGCTAAGCTCGCACACACTTATATATTCCTTGGTTTTGGGTACATGTATACTTGTTAAATGGCCAAGATGACTAATGCATTACTGGCAAGTTGGCGTTGGCAGATGATTCAGATTCATGAGGCTTCCATGCAAATGGCAACGAGCAGCAGATGCTGGGACACTAACCTTCGACGAACTCCCATTTGATCATCATGGTTTGCTTGATAATAATAAGGTCATTGCCCGAAACTAGGGACGCAGACTATTCTGCGATCTCACTGATTGCCTCCTCATCGTCTGCTTTTTTGCAGCGACAGCACTGCTTCATCATCAAGTGCGATTAGTAATGTTGAAGGGATGAAGCACTAAACACTCCACTTGAATACCTATCGCATCGATTGCCAATCTCTCTCCCATTTTCATGTGTTTTTCCTCTTTGGCGGTTGCTTTTTAATAAATCAGAATCATATTATTCTGTCTTGAATGTTGATCTCCATAGTGGAACTATCGTAGCAATTGCTTAGTTCTTCCATGCCGTTAGTTGTTCCCGAGATTGAAACGATAGATCTTTACGCTGTCATGCAGTTGTAGGCCATCTCGTTTTAATTCTCTGTGTGTCTAATGGCACAGTAAAGATTTTAACCACTCTGCTTCAACAAATGTCGTATCTAAAGTGACAAATATACCTTCGTATCAGCGAACCCATCATCCTTTTTTTTTTTTTGGCTTATCATGTTGACTTAGAGCACCAAATAAATAGAAAAAACCAACAAATCTCTGCTCATAACACCAACAATCTGTGTTATCTTTCACTCTTGAAGTCACCGATTTGGGTAAAATTATTCCTGTCTCCAGCTTCCTTGCAGTAAATAACGTTTAACAACGCATGTAACAGTACAATACAACTTAAACAGTCATGGCACTTCTCAAGAAGTGCCCATACCTTCACATTGAACTTCCTGACCAAACAATCAGTAAAAAGGAAAATAATCCCCACTTTTTTCACTGAGCCTTTAACCACAAACATCAAAACCAATTCTCCAGAAATTGCACTTCAATCTGATTTTGAAAAACTTCAGGTCCTTGGCTTTGGCAGCACAGGTATTATTTACAAAGTACGTGACAAGCAAACATCAATAATCTATGCTCTAAAAATCGTCCGGGTGGTCATCCTGATAAAGAATATGAAATCTATCGTTCAATCAGCTCTCCTTCTGTTGTTGGTTGCCAGGGCATCTTTGAGGAAACCATAGGTGAGGTTGGGATTCTTTTTGAGTACATGGATGCTGGCTCACTGGATAATCTTTTCAAAACCAATGGTTCACTCACTGAAGACATTATCGGGAGCATAGCTTTCCAAGCACTCACTGGACTTGATCATCTACATGCAAGAAAAATTGTTCATTGTGACATCAAGCCAGTAAACATTCTACTTGATAAACAGATGAATGCAAGATTACAGATACTGTAGTTAGTAGTGAAGTTACTGGCTCAGATGATTCATGCAAAACTTATGCATGTCCTTGTGCTTATATCAGCCCACAAAGGTTTGATCCGTATCCCTATGGTTGCAATCCCTGTGCAGTCTTGTAAGGAGCTTGGGCTTGATGCCAGCGGAGCTGTATATTTGATATTCCATACTTGAAGCCTGGACAGAAAGCAGAATCAACAGCCCTCATGTCTGAGATAAGCATGGAAGAACCTCCAAGCTTATTAGACCATGCATCATAAAGTTTTCAAGACTTAATCCAATGTACTTGCAGAAGGAATTAAATAAGAGATGGAGTGTTTCCCAGTTATTAGCTCATCCCTTAGTATTGAGCAGAAGATCCAAGTCATCAATCTGATGAAGCTCATACAAACATTAGCAAATTTTTTTCCCTTTTTTTTGGTTAATTAGACTTTATTTTAAATGTATTTGGCTTTGTATTGAACTGAATCTACCTAACTCTTTTTCTGCCATATCAGCATGTCAATATACTCTAAAGGCATACCTTTGTTGCTTTGTAGTTGCACTCAGGACCACAGCTATCTGTACAGATTTCTATTATGTATTAATGCTGTTGTTCAACACAGGCATGATAAATGATTGAAACAGTTCATATCCAATGCAAAGCACCAAACAAATTAGTTTGAACCCTATTTCACTCTCAAGAAACTAGAAGTTCCATGGAGCCATCACGACACCTGCAAGAAGATCAATCTACTCAAAGTAAGAAAAATATAGATATTAAACTGGTTTCAAATTTTACATTCTCAAACCAATCTTCTCAATTCAAAAGCAAAAGATTAAAAACAAAAAACAGATTCTCCTTCTAGGGTTACGTAATCAGCATTATTGCATATAATAGCAACTCACAACTAAATTTTAGATGCTATAATGCTACCACCAACAAATGCAGACTTTAAATTATTAGAAGTAGCTGATAAATATTATTGTAACTTAATCATGTGCAAAAATAAAGCTAGCAGCCTAGATAGCCATTGCCACCATGTATCCTTCTCTATGATTAAGGGGCACAAAGGGACTTTTACCCATGCATCCTCTATCAACTAATTAAGAAAGACAATATTACAGTTACACTTTGGTGATTAGTAATTTTTTGTTTTATTTTCAGCTGATAGCTCAGCTGCACCAATGGAAAGTTGGCAAATCAAAAGAAATTCTTTGAAGTATCCATGCGTACAAGAGATGAATTCATGGAAGTGGCCAAAACAAAGGCAAAAGTAATATTGACAAACTCAAGGTAAACTATATGACAGAGCTATACCTTAGATTGCTTGTTAATTCCTGAGTATATTGAAAAAAAATAGAAACAACAGAGATAAACTAACTTCAACAAACACACAGATTATTTAAAGCCTCTTACATGAACAGAATCACCTGGAAGCACGATTCTTGTGTTCTTACCATGTTACCAATAATCTTGGCATGAGCAAATTCCATCCTTGAAGTGATGGAAACGCTTTATATCTCTTACCACAATCTCTCTTTGACTCAATTTACTGACATGTTTCATCAGAGAATGGCAATCCCCACATATTCTCAGGTTCTTCACAATCCTAAGCACCACCCCAGGACTCGTCCTAATGAGCCCAAAAGCAAGTGCCAGCTTCTCACTATGGGTTCCTAATGCGTCTTCCTTCTCTTCCTCTTCAATATTGTGAAGTACCCACTCAGTCTCTGGAATGTAACCATGTTCCCTAGCACGATTTGTCATTTCTTCCAATTTTGAGTATATCTCTTTTGTGTGCATATGAGCTTGATCACCAGCAACAAAACTATGTAGTTTTCCATGCACCTCCACATGACTCAATCCCGGATCTTTAGCTGCACCTTTATCTTTCATTGAAGTTCTCACTCTTTCCACTTCTTCCCATATCCCTACCCCTGCATAAATGTTTGACATAAATACATAACTGCCTGAATGTTTTGGCTCAAGCTGCAGGAGTTTCTCTGAAACATATTTTGCCATTTCAATGTTTTTATGAGCTCGACAGGCAGAAAAAAGGGCGCCCCAAATTACAAAATCCGGAGTCAATGCCATGCATTGAATAAACCTTAAAGCTTCGTCGAGTTGGCCAGCCCGGCCATATAAATCAACTATTACGGCACAATGTTTCATGGTAGGCTCAATGGAGTAGTCAAGTTTCATGCTATCAAAGAACTTAAGCCCTTCATCTACTAGCCCAGCATGTGAACAAGCAGTTAAAACTGCAAGAAAAGCTACTTCATCGGGCTCTATCCCTGCAAAGAGTAAAATATGCACTTCAGTTCTCAAATAAAACAGTCAAAAGGATTAACGAGATCCAAAATTCAATAAGAAAAGTGTCACTGAACCTGTCAGCTTCATCTTTTCAAAGCATTGCAGAGCTTGCTCAACAGATCCATGAATTGCCCAACCCCATATCATCACGCTCCAAGTACGGACATCCTTTTCTTTTGTGTCACGGAAAACCTGACTTGCAGACTGAATTTGCCCACATTTGGCATACATGTCTATCAAAGCAGTTCCGACAGCTGCATTGAACCGAAACTTGTTGCTCAAAATATACTTATGAATCTTCATCCCAGCCTCAAGTGCCCCAGTTTTTGCACAAGCAGAAAGCACGGAAACAAGTGTTAAATCATTGGCCCTCGCACCCTCCTCCTCGATCATATTGAAGAACATTTCCAACGCTTTTTCATGCATCCCATTCAGCGACAATCCATGAACCATTGTGGTCCAAGAAACCACATTCTTTTCAACCATCCCCTCGAAAAGCTCCACTGCCTTATCCACCTTGCCATTCCTCATCAGCCCATTAATTAAACTATTCCAAGACCCGAAATTTCTCTCTGGCATCGCCTCAAACAACTCCACAGCCTTTTCCAAGATCCCACTTTTACAACACCCATTGATCACCACATTCCACAGAAGCACACTATCAAGCTTATTTCTCTCAGGACTTTCATCGAACAACTGCAACGCAAGACTTAACAACTCCATTTTCGCATACATATCAACCAAAGAAACTCTCACAAAACCATCGAACTCAAGTCCCATCTTCAAGATTCCACCATGAACCATCCCACCAAGCCATTTATCACCCAACCCCACAACTGATTTCAGCACAAATGGGAATGTCAGCCTAGATGGTCTAACATCAAGCCTTAACATAAGCTTAAAAAATTCAAACGTTTTCCTAAACCAAGAATTTTCGGTTAGGCCTCTAATTAATGCATTAAACATATAAACATTTGGGTCAGTAAAAGAATTAAAGATGTGCAAAGCATAGTCAATTGATCTCTGTGAAGAGGAGGAAGAAATTAGTTGAGTGATGATCTTACTGTTGGAAGACATTGCTTGCAAAATGAGTTGGGAATGAATTTGTTGGAGTTGGAGGATGGTTTTGGAGGCATGAATGAGAGTTATGAAATGGGTTTCAGCTTGATTCGGATTCTGAGGGATGATTTTGCTGTAAGATTGGTGAGGTTTAGGGGGTGGAGAAAAAATGGGGTTATTCTTTTTGGAGGGAAGAGCACTTTTTGGTGCCAGAACTCTCATGGCCTTTTTCATACTTCAACCCAGAGTTGCAAGTGTTATTTTTGCTGGGTAAAGAGTTGCTATTCTTCATATTCAATAAAGGGGCTTAATCACACTAAAGTCCCTGTATCTTTTGCACTGTGCCCCACGGATTCTTTTTATTAGCACTAGTCCCATACCATAAATAGCCAAAGTTAAGATTTTTTTCAATTCAAAAAGATATACTGCTTCTTAGTTTCTATCTTTGATTCATCATGGGCTCAGAATTGAAAAATTTTATGTTCTGCTTACAACAAAAGACATATTTAATCTAGTAATTATACAATTAAGCACATATTTAATATAGTGATTATTCAATGCAAACAGAAATGGACAAGGTAGTGTATTTTTCAAGGAACAAATGCTCGGAAAAAAAGGCAAAATCAAAGAACGCATTCTGTGAATGCAACGTTTGAGAAAACATTTGTTTGGATAAGTATTATTTGAAATATTATTTGAAATAATTACTGTAGTATTTTTTGTGATGTGATATGTGTGAGATAAAAAGATGGTTAAAAATAGAAAAAGGTAGGTTGGAAGATCAGAAGAATCCCGGCTTCGCCTACGGTCTCCTCAAAGATGCCACGGCATCCAACAGTGGAAGGAGAGTTGATTGAACGACGGATTTCAATCTCTTTATCAGGATGACAACCCTCGACAACTTTTAAAGCATAGAACACTGATGTTTTTTTGTCACGGCCTTTGTAAACAATCCCTGCTCTGCCGGAGCCAAGAACCTGAAGTTTCTCAAGATCAGACAGGAGGGAATTTCTTGAGAATCAGTTCTGATGTTTGTGACTGAAGGCTTTGGGAGAGAAGTGGGAATTGATTCTGGTTTTTGATTGTTTGGACAGGAAGTTCAATATGAAGGTTTAAGCATCGTCTCTTGAGAAGTGCCATGACCGTATAATTTGCCTGTTACTGCTATGTGGGTTATTTACTGCAAGGAACCTGGATATGAGAAGAAATTAACCTAAAATCAGCGGCTTCAAGAATGAAACTCGACAAAATAAAGATTGTTGGTGGAGTTAGCTAAGGTTATATAGCTTTGGCTAATGGACGGCAGTTAAGCAAGTGTTTCCCAATGTTAAAATGATTATCAAGCAAGGGGCGGATGATTATTATTTCCTAATGTTAGAAGGATTATCAAGCAAGGCGCGGGTGATTATATTGCCAATGCAAAGTAGTAATATTTTTTATTTTTCTTTTATAAGTGAGAGTTCTTGAACTTAAGAACTTCTGTCTGTAATCTCTCTTCTCTCACTACCCAATCTAACCATCCCTGCAAACTAGTAGTATTTAATTATACTGAAAACAAATACAACAATCGATATTTTGTTTTCATTTTCAAAAGTTCATTCCCTTTTAGTTAACTAAGTCGAGATTTTACCTCAATTAGATGGTTATTTTTATTCATGATGATAATCTTGGTAACAGTGTAGTTATACAGGTCAAACACTAATCTTCTTAGTATTATTAAGCTATAATTAGGAAGCAGCGGTATGCAATGCCGCCCATGATGTCAGAGACATGTTCTGATTCGTGGTGATAATTGGAATTGAATTCGTTCAAACTTTTTTTACCAACAAAAAAAAAGAAAAAGGGAGAGCGGAGATGCAATGCGGGGATGTATGCCAATTGTATACCTGCGTACAAATTTCCTTCAAGTTCAAAAGACATGGTATATTTAATATTTTCCCCCTTGAAACAAAGCTTACAAACAAAAGTATGAGTTACATTAGATCGATCTACAACCATGTTTTACTCCAACCCTTTCATGCATTCCAGTAATTTTTGTTGATTGATCGAAAAAAAAATAACATACCGAAAAAATGAAAACAATTTGAATAATCTCTATTGTTTGAACAAGTCACTTACATGGTGAGTATTAGCAAAATCTACAATAGAACCAGAAATACTAAATAAAGTTGGTACTTATTTTTTTAACGTTTTTAAGCAATTCTAACAATTAGATACAAGTCTTGAGATTTTGTCTTAACTTTTCTTAATAAACTTTATAATGTTCATCAAAAAAGAAACACTTATAAACTGATACAAAATCCATGTCAAATATAATAAGTGAAATTTCAAAATAATTATTTCAAATTGGAAGTTAGGTACAAATTCTTTGCTATTTCACAAGTTGTACACATAACTTCCTTACCTTTTATGGTGCTTATTATATTACGTTAACCCAAAAAGCTTAAAGCATTTGGGTGATTTGAAAATGTAAATAAAAGTTTTGAATGACTAAAAAATGAACCTCAAAATAAAATTCAACTTTTGCATACATGTCATGAATCAAACGGTGATAGTGTATACAATGTCAGTGTTTATAAGATTTACTCCAATCTTATATGTTACAGGGGTATCAGAACATATCATCATTATCATTTTTAGGGTTTTAAAGAAGACTTTAGAAAATTTTAGTGACCATTGATCCATTCTTTGGGAAAGTTTTTTAAAAAAATTAAAGAAGAATAAGGAAAGATATTCTTAAAAAAGCAAGTTGTAACACAAATGAACCTTTAAGGGAAACATTGCATTGGTAAATGGATAAAGAAGAATAAAAAGATATTACTTTTTATTTGAAAAGCAAATATTGATTTTCTTTTTCTTTTTGTCTTTTCTAAGAAATTCCTTTTCTTTATTCTTCTTTACATGGTCGCCAATGCAATAAATTACTAAAGCTTTACCGTGATTCTTTTTGGTAGTTTATCTTTCCTTTCTTAAAATATAAATCAAGTTTTTTTTGATAAGTCAAGTTATTTTATTGCTAAACTACTTCTATTATTTTCCTAAAAGATTCAGGAGTGCAAAGATCGTTTTTGTATTAGAGTTTTTTTTCATTATTCTTTAGTTTCCAACATCAACAGTCACTGAACTTTCGCAAAGTAACATTGACTCACTCAATTATTTTTGTATATGAAATGATTAAAATGTCTTCGCAAAATGTGGTGTACAGCTGAAGTAGCATCAATTTTAACTCTTTTAATCGAGAAAATATATAGGAATGAGCCAATTGATCATTTTCAGGAGTTTAGTTGATCAATTGACATGAAAAACGATAAAGTCGACTAAATAAGATTTTGAAAAAATTTTGTGACTCGTAGTGCGCACTTTACCAGATTCTTTTATATTTTATATTTACTCTTGCTATTCAGGATATCTGGATATGCAAGAGGCATTATTGTTTGCTTACCTAGTTTTCCCTTCTGGACAATAATTGAACTGCTTCTTTTTCACTATATTTCACCCAAAATATGAGCATATTCCACAGGTAAATTTGGGTTTATGATATCAAAACCTAATGATCTATAAATCACAATTCTTTGTATGGAAAAAGCAATATTACGAGGAAAATTTTTAACCCTTTTTAGGATAAATCATGCATACGCTAATAGCATGCACTACCAAATTTAAATGCACGTCACGTATACAGAATTTAGATTTTGAATTCAAATTACAGTAATGTGCCATGCATTTATTCCCCTTAATGTATACACTTTCAGTATAAAAAAAATCATTATTTTTTTATCGCAAAAAGATTTGCCATCGTAAAAATTCTTCCTTGCTTTCCATAAGTGATAGACAGTAGCAGACAACATTCCAAATTATGACAAAATGATGTATGTCTACTGCAACATTATTGTATTTCATCCTGCCGCCTCAAACCACGTCTATATAACAAGAATAGCTAATGAATTTTACACTAAACAGCAGCCAGAAAAGTTGCAATTGAAAAAAAAAAAAAGATGTTCCATTGTTTCCTCACATACATCATACAAGACGCTCAAAGGAGAAAGTAGAGCTCATGAATATATTCATGTTTTGTTAGACAAGGCAAATTGGTGTTTAATAATTTAGTTGTTTTTATTTTCAAAAGTTCATTTCATCTTGCTTAAAATTTTACCTCAAATAGCTAGTTATTTTATGCGGATGATATGCTTGGCAACAAGAGTATTCATGGAGGTCAAACGCTAGACTTCTTATAATCCAGTTGTAGTTTCTGATCAGCCCCATTAATGACAATAAGTTACAGAGGTGCAACCCACTGATATCAAACTAGTCTGAACCCTATAAGGAAAAAAAAGAAGTTGCATCAGATAGGATAAAAGCACTTTATCATTGGATTAATTTAATCCATTCGAGAACATAATCATGAATTAGGCTGGATCCTATGCCACTTTAATTGCTTGTTGTGCTATATGTTAACAATTTGTCGTTGTGCAATTCTTAAAAATTTCCAATTCTAGATGTCACATAGGTATATATATTTGTTAATTTAGATATGAAATTTAATGAAGTTGAAAGGTCTCGTTCTTTATTGTCCAATTTACTTTTATTTTGCTCAAAGATGGACCCAAGATCATAAGTTAGAGGGGGTGAATAGTCAAACATATAACAAAAAAATATTGTTCGAATAAAGAGAGAAAAATTGGATGTCAAAGAAAAGAGAAAAAAAAGTACGTTCCCGTTTAACTCCCCCTTCCCTTCCCAGTTGGAGGGAAGTATCACATGCATGAGTTCTAGGAAAAAATGTAACTAAAAAGGTTGAAAAACAGAACACTTTAGTACAAATGGGGGATAAAAATTTTCAATTACCAAAAAAGAAACCCTGAATCTAATCTAATCGCACCCATATTACACTTTCTGATTTCATCTTCTCTTTGGCATGCATCTATACCCAATATTCTTGAAGAGAAAAGATTTATCGTCATTACAAGAGGTTTTTTTTGGGTCTGTGCATGATTTTTTGACCGACAGTTTCCTAAGTGGGAAAATAAATAACTTTTGAACAACGTGTAGAATAGTTAATCTTTTCAAGTTTCGAGACGAATGACAGTACAAAAGTACAATCGTCTTGCTTGACTGTTTTCTGTCTTACATATTTCGACTTGTGATTTTGGCATCAGCCAGTAGACTGTTAACTGGTTCTTGTATCATTGACATCAGTTGGCAGTGCTAGGTACCCATTTGGATTTTTCAAACAGTATGAACCCTTTGAAGATGCTGTGA